AGATGAAAAGCTACAAAAAGAGCTGCAGAGAAAACTAGAGGAACAGAAGAAACTATATGAAGAGGAGAAGGAAAATAGGAAGAAAAACATGGAAGAAAAACATCAAGAGAGCATTCTACTTGGAACAAGGGAACTAACAAAAGAAGAGGCATTGCAGAAATGTTTACTAGAAATAGGAGACAGGCTTGATGGTTACCTTGAACTACAATCATTATTGGAACCAGTTCATGGCTGTCGGCACTATAGAAATTTTATTGGAGCAGCTGCTGGACGTGTTGTTGGATCTTTTCAAAACATTGTGTATTGGATTATCGGTTCACGTTCTCAACGTTAAACTCAAAAGCAAACTCAAGTGTGAATTCAGATCAACTGGAACAAATCATAATTGTGCTTACTTTTGATCCTGGTTCTGCATGACATCTCAGCACGTATAGGAGAATCACTTCACAGACAGACCTGTACCCTTTCAAAAATGTACTCTTGCAAGAATGAGCAAGGACACCATGTTTTATTTTTCCTTACTCATTCATTTAAGGCATACGGTCTAATAAGACAGAGCTTGTGTTCAGTGTTTCAATTAGTAGATGCTTTAGCATTTAATGACATAAAATGCACTTCATACATCATATGTAGCACTTTTTACCCTTTCTAGGTAGATAAGAGAGCGCCCCGAGTTCGTATTAATAAACTTGGTAGTGGTGAGTTAATTGTGATAATTTACTCACTGTAACTTATTTTTGTGTAACTGTGTTTGTAAGATCTTTTCTTGGGTCCCCTAAGATTAAATTGCTTTCACATACTCAAAGAAAATGGGAGTGTAGTGTTTCTCTTTTTGCTAAAATAATGGTTTTACTAATAAGTAGTCTAAATATATAAAACCCCTTTTGTTTAACTCGAATTAATACACATAACACACTCAAGTATAATGAAATTAACAATTTACTTAAATGAATGTAAAATAATCAAGTTTCAGGGTTTTCACAATGTAAAATAAAATAATTAGGTAAATAAACAATAGGAATTTCACAAATTCACAGATAAAACCCAAAAAATATAAATTTACCACTTTTCACATATTTTAAAAGTAAACATATTATGCCCCTTTTTACAATATGTAATATAAGTCTCTGGGGTCCCCAGAATGTGTCTGTGAAGTTTCAGCTCAAAATACTCCACAGATCATTTATTATATAATTTTGAAAATGCCTATTTTGAGTGGAAGCAGAAACATGCTGTTTTTCGGACCTGTGTCTTTAAATGCAAATGAGCTGCTGCTCCCCGCCCCCTTTTCCAGAATAGAGCTGCGCCATTACAGCTTGTACCTGCTAAAAACATCTGTTTTGGTTCTGATTATCATGTTTATCGTGCTGAAATCATGCGTTTTAAACCATATGAGTTTAAACTTCTTATATACGGTTTTCTGAGCGCACACATCCGAAGCACACGCACAGAAAGCGGCTGTCACAGCATGTGAATACTAAACTAAGTTCTCATTCACACACAAGTTTACGTTAAAACACACACATGAGTTAAATAAGCAGTCAGTTATGTCTGTGAAGGTAAACAGCTGGGAAATAAATCACATGTTTATTTTAGATCTGTGTGGCAGCAGCAGTATACAGTAAATACATCAATAAATCCACTGCTCTGTTGTCTCCTCTGAGCCTGGGACTCTAAATAGTTGTAGCGCTTTTAACCCTTTCCTATATAGATAGATAATGGAGCGCTCTGAGTTCGTATGAATAAACTTTGTTTTATCAAATACTGTGAGCTAAGTGTGACTATTTACTCACTTCAACTTATTCTGTACAACTGTGTTTGTTACTTAGTTCCTTGGGTCCCTTAAACTGTAAAATGAAATCACATAAACAATAATGAATTAGAATTTTAGGATTTACCTTCTGTTAATAAAGTAATTGTTTTACCAACAAAGAAGTCTCAATGTATATTTATATCCCCTTTTTAACTAAAATGATAATAAACGGAAAACACTTAAGTATACGGTAAATAACAATTTACTGGATAAAATGTAAAAGGATCAAATTTCAGGATTTTCTTCAAAATGTAAAATAAAATAATTATGTAAATAAGCAATAGGAATTTCACCAATTCACATATATGAAAGAAAAATAATAATAAATCAATTACACATTTCACATATTCACTTTTCTATTGTAAATAAATATTTGTTCCCCTCTTTTTAGGTATACTTCAACTTTGAGTCCCCAAACTCTCACTTAAACTCAAAAGATGTCTCTGTAGTATAAGTTTCTGTTCTCGTTTTGACAACACACTAACTACATAAACTATTGTAACACATTATAGCATTAATTACACTATATCTTTTGTGAAACAATATCACACCAGATGACCCTCCCCTGTCTAATTGTCTGAATGTCCCCATCAGGCAATTAAATCAAAACTTTACAGTCTATACCTCGTTGTTCATTTAGTAATTTTAACTCTGACCCTAGTTTAATAATGACCCCTCTATGGACTATTTCAATTGGGTGGTCACTACTTCTTCCTGGTTCGTCATAAGTGAGTCTTATAACAGGCTTCACAGGTCTTTTACTATGGGATCTCTGACTAGGAGGCATAACCGCTTTTGGTCTTGGGCACTTCCTTTCAGAAATAGTCACAGTGTCTGGTTCAACTTCTGAGTCTGACTCCGATTCACCAACAAAGTCATTGTCAGTGCACTCTTCCTCAGCCTGATCACTTTCCTCCTGACCAGTATCACCAGCTTCTTGTTCATTTGCATTGCTATCAAGAAATCTGTCCCTGGTCATCTTATTTTCCAACAACTTGTGCACGTACTTCTGGTAAGGCACATTAAACCTTTCACACTCTGACTCTGAGGATTCTGTCATCTCAGATAAGTGGTTTTGGGTTTCTTTTAGCACTTATTTGTGTGTTTGGTTTGAATTTGAATGTTTTCTTGCCTTTTCAGGTGATGCATATCCTGGACTCTCCAGCATTCTCACAGACTGTCCAATGGGTAAGAGGTGATCTCGATGGATGGTTTTTACTCCTCTACCATGTTCAGGTTTCACCTTATACACTGGTAAGTTAGGCATTTTATCAACCACCAGATATGGCAAAGAACTCCATCGACTCTGAAGTTTGTGTTTTCCTCTCAATCCCAGATTCTTCAACAACACTCTATCACCAATGTCCAAGACCTGGAATCTAGCTCTGCTGTCATAGGCTCGCAGGTGCCCCAGTAATGCCCTGTGGCATACGCTCAAATTGATAGAATCCTAAGGGGCATATAAAGGCAGTTTTTTCCTTATCCTCTTCAGACATAGCTATTTGGTAATAGCCACTTCTGAGGTCAAGGACGGAAAACCATCTACTCCCTGATAAACAGTCTAATACATCGTCAATGCGAGGAGTAGTATACTGGTCAGGCACTGTTTGAGCATTAAGTGTGCGATAGTCGATGCACATTCTTACGCTTCCATTTTTCTTTCGGGCGATTACAATAGGGGAGGCGTAGGGGCTTTGTGATTCCTTGATGATGCCGGATTTCATAAGCTCCTGAATGTGTCTTCGAACATCATCGATATCTGCAGGAGCCAAACGCCTAGAGCGCTCACGAAAAGGCCTAGAATCGGATAGCCGAATATGGTGTTCCACTCCTTTCGCCAAACCCACGTCCCACTCGTGTAGCGAAAACACAGAAGCTCTTTCCGACAATGCCTGCCTTAACCTCTGCTTCCATGTCTCAGGAATTGGGGAATCTCCAAAGTTAATGAGGTTTGTATCAAACTCTCCTGTCTTTGGGGCGGATGTTACTGGATCTGCTGAATATAAGTGACCAACCACTGTTCCTACTGGAATCACTGTGTCCCTCAGGGATTCATTGTGCATCAGTACTGGGAAATGGTGGACATCCCTTTCAGAATGTGGCACTACCATGGGCTGCAGTAACACTCCAACTGGCAGAGTGGCATCTGGAGAAGCCTCTACCAGCAGAACCTCTTCTCCTAATGGTTCATTTAACTCTACCTTACAGATCGCCACGCAATCCCCTCCTGGGGACAAGGACAAGGGGCCAGGACCAAGCCACCTTACACTGCCCACTCCTTCGTCTTCACCAGAGATCTTTGCAGGGTCACATGACAATTCTTCGGAAACTGAACCCACATTTATGCCCAAGGTCTGTGTAATGTCCACTCCAGTACTTTCTCTACAAAAGCGAGCCAAACGCTTGAAAAGGTTAGCATTGGTACCCAAAATAACTGGTGTTTGATCTGGACTACATGGTCCCGGGCAGATTAAGGTCAAGACTGAAAGGGTTTCCTGAGTTCCTGTGATTTTGGCAGGGAACTCAACATCTACCATGGCATAACCCAAGTAAGGGTAGCTGGACTCACTTAAACCCCAAATGGCCAAACATGTGACAGGGTGAATGGGAATATCAGACAGATGCTGCTTGTACCACTCCTCGAAGATGATGGTTACTTGTGAACCACTGTCTAATAAGGAATCACATTCATGTCCGTTCACCTTTAGCTGAACAACAGACATTGGACCAACCAACCCTTCTGGAAGGTGCCTTGATTTTTGTATGTCTACAGTACTCCTCTTTACTGAACAGTTGGTTGTACTGGATTCTGGCTCAGATGAAAGCAAGTCTCTACTTTTGGCTTTTTTTAGTGACTGGATTAATCTTCGAACAACTTTTGCTTGGTTTTCAGCATTTCTGCATTTTGCGGCGAAGTGTCCACTTTCTCCACAGCGGTAGCAGTAATATTCATCTGAATCACTGTACGTGGTCTGCTTATACAGTGGGGAAAAAAAGTATTTAGTCAGCCACCAATTGTGCGGGACATTTCTAGAAGTCTCCACAGGCAAGGAGGCAACAGAGGTAATGGGCTTTTTACTTTGAACTTTCTGCTGCAATCTTTTGACCTGTTTTTCAGCGCAGTCATTTCAGGGTCTGGACAACTTTCTACGGTTGTAGCTTTCATAACTGGACCAGCAGACGCCTCTTATTTCACAGCTCCATGAGGGGTGGCTGCCATAGACGCGAACATGGCTTTCAGTTCCTTCAACTCAGTTTTTAAATTCTGAATTTCTGTCTGCTTATTGTCTACCTCTGCTTTAGCCTGGATCTTATGCACAGTGGAGTTTAGCTTAGCCCTAGACGCCTCGTATTCTTCCTCACTGCGAATCTCACTCAACAGCTCCAAAAATGATGGAGGATTTTCCTTCCTTTCCCTCAGCTTGTGATTAACTAACATAAGATCAGCAGCAACTGCTCCTCGAAGTAACTGTTCCACTCTTACACGGTTTGCAGCAGCAACCGACAGACCACCTCGCTGTATGACTTTGGTCAAAGCTTGTTCCAATCTTTTAAAAAAGTCTGACAGTTTTTCACTGGGCTGTTGCTGCATCAACCGAAAAGCAATATACAGCTCTTCCCCTGATTCAGCAGAACCAAAGGCACTTTCAATGGCCTCTAAACATTGTTCTGGCTTGAGATCAGCAGTGGTTACACGAGCAGCTTTTATTATTGCCAAGGCTGGACCTCGTAAACTCTCCATAATCCGACGTCTTCTTTCTTTGTCTGAGCAATCGCTTTCTTCTACCATAAAACGAGCTTGCTCTAGCCAATGTTCTAAAGGCTCTTCTCCGGCAGGAGTTGGCACAGTCCCAGAAAAAACATGGAGGCGGCGATAACTGCTGCTATCGCTCACTGGTTTTTCTATTTTAGATAGCAGATCCCCCATGGCACGAATAATGGACTCAGCCGAGCCATCATGTGCGCCCACCAATTCCTGAACATTGCTATCATCCACAGCGGTAGATGAATCATTCTGCTTTGCACTAGAGGGAGCACTTGGTGAAACTGGACTTCGTGTCACCATGACAATCGGCCAGGTTACCATTCCGCCTGTGGGAAGTATGTCAGGAGGGACTTTAGAAAGGTCTACAACTTCTTTGCATTCACATAAAACAGTCAAACTGTCCATTTTGCTGTTGTACATGCGTCCTCTCACACGCACTCGCCCCAGACATTTAACAGATTGGAGGGTGTCTTCAATTTGTGTAATATCTACATCTTTAGGGACAATGACCATCAGCGCATGTGCCTCATTAATCATTTCTCCTCGACACCATCCTTTAAGCTCATCCACCAGCCCAGGATATATAGAATAAGCAGTCATGGTCCCACTGTGCTAACTAAATGATCACATTGTTTCTTATTTTACAGCACACAACTGCGACGGGACACGCAAGGATCCCAGCGGTGCCTCCAATTTATGTAGCGCTTTTAACCCTTTTCTATATAGATAGATAATGGAGTGCTCTGAGTTCGTATGAATAAACTTTGTTTTATCAAATACTGTGAGCTAAGTGTGACTATTTACTGACTTCAACTTATTCTGTACAACGGTGTTTGTTACTTAGTTCCTTGGGTCCCTTAAACTTTAAAATGAAATCACATAAACAATAATGAATTAGAATTTTAGGATTTACCATCTGTTAATAAAGTAATTGTTTTACCAACAAAGAAGTCCCAATGTATATTTATATCCCCTTTTTTAACTCAAATGATAATAAACGGAAAACACTCAAGTATACGGTAAATAACAATTTACTGGATAAAATGTAAAATGATAAATTTTCAGTATTTTCTTCAAAATGTAAAATAAAATAATTATGTAAATAAGCAATAGGAATTTCACCAATTCACACATATGAAAGAAAAAATAAAAATAAATCAAGTACACATTTCACATTCACTTTTCTCTTGTAAATAAATATTTGTTCCCCTCTTTTTAGGTATACTTCAACTTTGAGTCCCCAAACTCTCACTTAAACTCAAAAGACTCTTCAACCAAATACTAAGCCGGCAATATGAGCTCACACTTAACCTTATCCGAGCAAGATAGACACTGTTCAGTCTCTATAATTAGTCCATTCGCTGTATTAGTAAATGGAGGCTGGAACTAACACAACCAGAAATATTTTGTAGAGAAATAATTCTTACCCGTCTCTGTAGTATAAGTTTCTGTTCTCATTTCGACAACACACTAACTACATAAACTATTGTAACACATTATAGCATTAGTTACACTATATCTTTTGTGAAACAATATCACACCAGATGATCGCACGCTCTTCTCCCTCGTGCTCTCCCGATTCTTCCTCGTTTAACTTTGCCCTCAATTCTTCCCGCCCCCTTCACCTCAATCTAGAGCATAGATTGGACATCCAACGTGGACAAGTGAATACGATTGGATAAACAATAGAAATATCAAAATACAAAAATAATAAAAAATAATAAATATCAACTTAATTAACATAGAACTTATCCACCACCATATACATTTATAAAATGCACATGAACTATATATGTATATATATATATATAAAAAAACCTTGTAAATTATTACACTGGGTTAAATAGTGTTCTGTGCTCGTCTGTGCAGCCAAAGATAGAACAGTTAGCATGTTCTGCTCAAACTTTCTCCATGGCATTAGAACTAGCACACCATTGTCGCTTGCGAAATCAAAATGACGGCGCCTTGGGTGTAAATTTACAGATTAAGGGACGGTAATATTATAATGAGATCCCTTTGCCACGTCACCAAGGGAGCGAAATCAGACGCGCTCGTTTTCTCAGACGCTTGCAGAAAAAAGCTTACCAAAGCAAAGTTACTGGGTCAATCTTTTTCACGTTTTCTTGGTTGGTAGATGCACCAGGGACCTGATTATAGCACTTAAAACCTTTAAGATTTGAGCACCCAAACTCTTTCTCAAAACTCAAAGACTCTACCCAAATAATAAGCCGGCAATATGAGCTCACCCTAAAATTAACTCAATATGAAAATCTCAGTTCCCTTTCATGGGAACTTCGAACTGCGTCCTCTAGGGGTCGCTATGGGGAACGCCTCGTCGTGACCCGTGTCTGAAGCATACATTGAAAAAACA